GCCAAAATGTTTGTTCTCGAAACGAAGGAGGGGCGTTTTGCTCCAGGGAAGAGACGAAAGCATTACCGTCTGGATCGTTTCCTACTTCAGTACAACATCAGGCAGTTTGGTACGAAAACTCTTGCGAGGAAGAAGCTCCGCCAGTTTGTCTCCAGCATCAGGTACCATTTACTGCACGGAGATGTCGTGCTCTGTTGTACACCAGTAACTTCGGCAAGTTCCAATGCATGTCGAAATATTCGACCAGAAACAAGGCCACCCCAGACGATGAAATGTGGGTTTACTTGGGCGCGTTGGCAAAATGCTCGTTAGTCTTCATTCTATGCTTCGGACGTTGCTTCTCTCGTTGGACAGCAAGGAGGGATTGGCACACCCGCGCGTGACCCTATTCGCGAAGCTGTCGGGCATTCCCGTATCCACGGAAGACGCGAGGGAGTTTCGACCTTTTGCTCTCACGGATTACTTTCTGCCGATCGTCAGGCTTTTGGTGAGGGGCTAGCCCTAATTTGGTCCGAGGGTTTGTGTTTTCTCAACGTGTTCAAGCTACATCGGTCTAAACGGCAGTAAATAGATCGTTTGCTTGCCCATACGAATATTCGTGAATATGCTGTTTTTCTTGTAAGTCCTAGTACCCAGAATGCGTTATGTCCTAGTACCCAGTATGCGTTTCCTGTTTTACCGCGACAGTACGTATTCCGCGCGCTAGGTGCTTTCGAAAAAATCGTACATGTGTACAATCACGGATGCTCGTATTGTAGTGTAGAGTTCGTGAATGATGACGACACTGCATCGTTCGGAATATACAGTCGAATGCTCCGGGGCCTCCGCCGTAACGCAAGGTCACGTGCCCCAACATATTGGCAGGTGCCGCCGGGTGAGGATCTGGACCACTGGATGGGGACTGGGAAAGAGCCGGTAAGCAACGCGAAGCGTCTAGGCTCTACACAGGTATTTCAATAGCGACATGCTTTTGTTGTTTTCAGGGCGGGGTATTCGTGGAATTGAAGTTGCAAGTTACACCTTAAGCATGTAATAACTTGCGGGGATCCAAACTGTGGTTCCACCAGATACACGATAGGTTGTTTTGTGTCTTCCGAATATTTTCTGACCGTTCAGGCCTCTGCCCAGCACCTTCCAACATCTGTACTATTTAGTGCAACTGTCTAAAACCTCATTCTTCGTGATCACAGCTCCCCTGCACAACAGAAGAAAAAATATAGTGCAAATTAAAAGAGAAACAACGATGTCCCAGGAAAACCAACCCGAAACGGGTAGGCATAAACACAAGATGCAGGCCCCCGAAAGTCGATTTTCCCGGCAGGACATGTCGGAAAACAGGAGGCGATAGAGGATCCCGATGGACAGAGCCCACCCCTCAACCTCCACGCACTGGGCCAAGAATAAACGTAAAAAGAGCTGTGACCAAATATGCCCGGTGCGAGCATGACCACAGCGTGGAAACCGCAGCGACCGCATGGCTCCATGAGATTGGCCACCGCTCGCCGCCACACGAACCTGACCATTTATCGACCGGGTACACACGATCGTGGTTGCTCACCCCCCGGTGAGGTACCAGATTCGCATTTTCGTGCTAGACAAATGCCCGCCTCTTCGGTCAACCGCCACCCCACACACACACGCATGAGCGCGGTAGATGCTAGAATCAACAAAAACACGTCTGCAACGCTTATCCCCCTAACCTCGGAGTCCGACGCTGCCGACGGCGGCGGGCGAAGGCGGACTCAGCGCAGGCGAAACGCTCGTTTGAAGATAGATCAATCTTCTCTCGTGCTAACGTGTCCTACCGTGATCAATACACCCGGCCGTCAGCGGTCCATCATGGGCGATGAAACCGACCTTGCGAAAAGGCGATGTTACCGCCAAAGCTCTTAGAAGAGTTCGTGGGGATCACCGCTACAATGTTTCGGCGACGAATTGGGGCAGCACACAAACGAAATGCGTTTGCATAGGCCACGCCGGAGAATGCAAGGCTCAAGTACGAGTGTACAAGGGGAGGCGAGAAGAGGGAAGTGTGAATACGTTTGACGCGTTGCTGGCCGAACAGTCCCGCCCTTTTCGAGTAGGGAAATGCAAATCGAGAACCCCATCATTGAATGTAGGACTGTTCACGATCGGGTGCACCGGTCGGACGAGGTTAGGGTCAATGTCAGGTGGTGGCGAACATCCACCAATCAAATGGCGTCACGCGGTCGCTGCGTCGGATTGGGGCACTCGACTGCTGTGGTCATGTTCGCACCTGACGCACCCGATAGTTATGCCAACTCCAATGAGTAAAATGAACAAAAGCAATAAGGAATAGCCTATTTCAATAACCGGTGTGATTTTTCTATGATATTTGTCCGGCTGCTATAGACGCTGAAGCATCTTTATTACCGGGTTAGCACAGGCCTGTGATATCCCAACCCGCGCCTGTAGTATGCTGGGGGCTCACGATCAGAGTACAGGAGTATAGGTACCTGTTTACCTTTTCGAAAACGAGCAGCATGGCACGTGCCTTCAAGATGTCACAATGACCCTGGAGTAGCCTGTGCCACGTTCTCACTGGTCAGGCCCCCGCCTTTGCTCCACGCCTACACACGAAAATGAACCCACCTGCATGTGGAGTATTCAAGACACTTCAGGAAATGGAGCGATAGAAGTAGCATAATCGACCCGACACGCTACTTGAAGAAACGGTGCAACGGGGTTAGAAAAAATGAACGACAATGAGATGCATGACGGATTCCTGCCACCTTCATTCAGTCCGGCACATGCCTTGATATGAACAGATTCTGCCATCCCCTCGTGCCCTCCTCGGCTGCATGTCCGTAGAATGCATCCAGCGTTATCAGAAGGATATTTCTCTCCAGACGGGCATGGACGCGGACGGCCTTGAACATGGCTCGTAGTTACGTTGAAATCCATGATGCAGTGGTCCGGTTGCTCTTTGTCTGTTGGTGAGCCTCCTGTCGCGTGGCGTGAGCTGCTTCGACTCGTGCTCTTGTTTCCGTGCTCGCAAACAACCTCCGGCTGGCGGACGTGATTTCTTTTCTCTGCCGGGAGCACTGTCCGCGCTGCTTCAAGGGTAGCTTAGGTGCTCTCCCTCGCGGCTGCCGTGGGTGTTTCGTATGCAACCGAAATATCGTGACCAGGCGTTCGTTTTGAAGAACGTGTTTGTCAGTGCCGTGCTTCGGGTTCTGAAGAGTGTTCCTGAGAGCTCACAGGCAATGGCAGTCTTCATGGAGAAGGTGCGATACGAACCACCGTAGCAACTACACGGTACAGGAGGTTATCACCATCCACAAAACGATTTGTTGTGCTACAGGCGCGTTGTTATGCGTGTGCATGTTTGTTGGTCATTCACGTGCAATGTGGAAGACACCACTACCTCCAGGAGCTAGCGCGGCTGTTTCACCGAGATGAGTACACGCGCGCGCGCTGTGCATGCAACGAACGTTGAGTGGCGACGATCAACTATTGTACCACTTCCTAAGTACAAGTGACCTCCATGGAATCGCGACGTTTCGGGCAGTTGGGGGCGCTATGTGACACAACCGACCAGAGGAAGGCCCTCGAAAAATCGCAGAGATCGAGCAAGAGGTGCGTCGTGTCGGATAACGAGTGCTGAAGTACATCCCAAAGACGTTGTGCGGAGAGGTACTTGATCTGTTCAAATCGACCCGGGGATTCGCGTTGCATACCGACACAGAAGGACAGCTTGGAATACGTTCGAACAACGGGCGAAAATTCCGTGATGACTGGTTGAAACGTTGCTTGTGTGGGCTTGAGTTGATTCGAGACTCGATAAAACGCTGATCTGCTTCTCATCCTGAGGTTGCAATGTGTTCATTATTTTGTGGTCGATATTGGCTCCTGCAGAGGGCCCGTCAGATCAATGGGCGAGTGAAAACATTTGAAGCCCGCCTGTTTGTCCATACATGTATGCATCTCGCACAGAGCATACCAATCCGATAAACGGGAAGCAAGCAAAAGAGCAAGCCTGGGTAAATCAGGCGCACCATCCGACACATCTAACCGAACGGCAGGTTCGAGGTAAGGTCCCTGACGTGTTTTGAAAGTGCTGCTGGGTGCTGCGAGTATTCTGTAGGTGTTCTTGCACCTAAATCAAAAATGGCACGGTGGCGCTTCCTATTTCTTCACCTTGTTATAGTATGGCTTCTTGTGCACATGCCACCACTGCCGTGGATACGGCATTTAGCTCGTCCCTGCACAATCCTCTTGGCACGTGCGATTGGAGAAACGTGGAACCACGATTATCTAGTCCACGAGAACGAGAGGGAGGGAAAAAAGTAAAATCCATTTTCCCGAGAAAATTGGGGGGCTTTCACAATATGGACCTACAAGGATTCACCCACGACAGTTTTCGCCAATAGAAACGCAGTTTATGTGTGTGTGTGTTTTCGTCCTATTTATTATGGCGACTGTCCCCCCACTTTTCGTGGTGAGACGTGTACTACACTTTTCAGCGCATGTAGAGAGTACTGCACTTCTCAGTGTATTTTTTCGTACAACTACAACCATCCAGGGTCACACAGGAGGGGGTAAACACCGGGGCTTTTTTCTTCTTTTTATTTCTTTTTCATGCCCCACCTTCCTCCTGCGGTGCGTGCTGAATGCTATTTTTATCGCGAGAAGGGTCCAGCTGTCCCTTTCCCTCGTCAATGGTGCTAACGTCGAAGTTTGGGTACTTACGAGAGTTTGTCAGCTATATTTCGCTTTCACCCGCACATTTCGTAAATTATTCACCCCATGGGGAAGAGACGCGAGGAAGCTGACATGGCA